AAACCCTACAGTGTCTCCATCAGCCCACTGCCAACCTCAAATAAGAAGAAATAGTCTACCCAAGTGAGAAAAATAATTTTGACGATATGAAAAACAGAGTTTCAACATCACCAAAAGACCACACCAACTTTTCAGCAGTGAACCCTAACCATAATGAAATGTTTGAAATTCCAGAGATGGAAATCATAATATTTATTATAAAATTGCTCAAAAAGATCAGGCAAAAGTTGAAAACCAATATAAATTTTTTAAAAAATTCAAGACATGAATGAAAACTCCTCCAAAGAGACATTTAAAAAAAGCTGAACTTCTAGAAATAGAAGGCTAATTTTAAGAAGTACAAAATGCAGTGGAATGTTTTAACATCAGACTAGAGCAAATAGAAGAAAGGATCTTAGAAGTTGAAGACAAGGCTTTCAATATAACCCAGTCATACAACAGTAAAAAAAGAACAAAATAGAGCAAAGTCTCCAAGAAATGGGGGATTATGTAAAACATCGAAACCTAAGAATCATAGGTGATCCTGAGGAAGAAGAGAAAGCACCAGGTTTGGGAAACCTATTTGAGGGAATAATGGAGGAAACCTTCCTTGGCCTTGCCAGAGATTTAAACATCCAGATACAAGAAACCCAAAGAAACCCTGGAAATTTCGTTGCAAAAATGTCATCCCCAAGGCATATAATCATCGGGTTATACAAAGTTAATATGAAGGAAATAATTCTAAGAGCAGTGAGACAAAAGCATCAAATAACTTACAAAGGTAAACCTGTCAGACTCACAGCAGATTTTTTCAGCAGAAACCCTACAAGGCAGAAAGGATTGGGGCCCTATCTTCAATTTCCTCGACAAAATAACAGTCAACTAAGGATTTTGTATTCCAAAAATTAAGTTTCATAGATGAAAGATACATAAAGTCTTTCTCAGACAAGCAAACACTGAGGAAATTTGTCACTACTAGGCTGGCTCTACAAGAAGTTCTCAAAGGAGCTCTAAATATTGAAACAGAAGTTCAAAATACACCAGTAGAAAAACACTAACCTGTAATTCCAGCACTTGGGCAGGCTGAGGCGAGAGGATTGTCTGAGCCCAGGGGCTCGAAACCAGCCTGGGCAACTTGGTGAGACCTTGTCTCTACAATAAATCACAAAAAAACTAGCCAGGCATGTTGGCAGCTATCTGTAGTTCCAGCTACTTGGACAACTGAGGCAGAAGGATCACCTAAGCCCAGCAGGTTGAGGCTTCGGTGGCTGTGAGCGTACCACTGCACTCCTGCCTTGGGCAACAAGACTGAGACTCCAACTCAAAAAAGAAAAACACTGGAAATCAGAAAGCTCACAGGGCTTATAAAACACCAACACAATAGAGCCAAAAAGAAAGCAACCAAGTAACAGTCAACATAATAAATGGAATAGTACCTTACTTATCATTATTCATCCTGAATATAAATGGTGTCGATGCCCCACTGAAATGATCTAGATCAATAGAATGGATTTCACACACACACACACACACACACACACACACACACACACACACACACACAGTCGGGCGCATTGGTTCAAGCCTGTAATCTCAGTACTTTGAAGGGCGAGGTGAGGGGATTGCCTGAGCCCATGGTTCAAGAATAGCCTGGGCAACTTGGCAAGATCTCATCTCTACAATAAGTCAAAAAATTAGCTGGGCGTGGTAGCACATGCTTGTGATTCCCACATGCTTGTAGTTCCAACTACCTAGAAGGCTGAGGTGAAAGGATTGCCTGAGCCCAGCAGGTCAACGCTGGGGTGACAATGAGCGTGCCACTGCACTCCAGCCTGGGCAATGGAGTAAGACCCCAACTCAGAAACACACACACACACACAATCCAAATGTCTACTGTCTTCAGGAGACCCACTTAACACACAAAGACTCTTATAGACTCAAGGTAAAGGGGTGGGAAAAAAATATTCCATACAAATGGAAACCAAAAATGAACAAGAGTAGGCATTCTCATAATTCTCATATCAGATAAAACAGATTTTAAGTTAAAAAACAGTAAGAAAAGATGAAATTATTATATACTAATAAAAGGATCATTCCAACAAGAAGATATAATAGTTTTAAGTATATATGCACCTAACACCAGAGATCCCCTCTTTAGAAACAAATTCTACTAGGCCTAAACAAAGAGATAGCAATACAGTAATAACGGGAGACTTCAGCACTCCACTGACAGCAATAGAAAGATCATCAAGGCAGAAAGTCAATAAAGAAGCGTTGGAGTTAAACCAGACCCTAGACCAAATGGACTTAACAGCTATCTATAAGCCGGGCTCGGTGGCTCAGCCTGTAATCCCGCTCCTTGGGAGGCTGAGGTGAGTGGATTGCCTGAGCCCGCGGGTTCGAGACTCGCCTGGGCAACTTGGTGAGACCTCATCTCTACAATAAATGAAAAAATTAGCCGGGTATGGTAGTGCACACCTGTAGTTCCAGCTACTCGGAAGGCTGAGGCAGAAGGATCACCGGAGCCCAGCAGGTCGAGGCTGTGGTTGCTGGGAGCGGCCACTGCACTCCAGTCTGGGTGACAGAGTGAGACTCCAACTCAAAAAAACAAAACAAAACAAAAAAACAGATATCTATAGAACATTCCACCCCAAAACTACAAAACATACACATTTCTTATCGACACATGGAAAATATTCAAGATAGGCCACAAATCAAGTCTCAGTAAATTCAAAAAATTAGAATCCTATCACGCACCTTCTCAGACCACAGTGGAATAAAACTAGAAATTAACTCCAAGAAGAATTTGCAAACCAAACAAATACATGGAAATTAATCTCTTTAATGATCTTTGGGGCAACAATGAAATCAAGATAAAAATTTTAAAATTCCTTGAAATGAATGATAACAATGACACAAGTTATCAAAACCTCAAACACAGTCAAAGCTGTGCTCAGAGGAAAATGTATAGTGCTTAAGGTCTACATCAAAAAGACTGAAAGATCATGTATTGGCAATCTAACATCATACCTTAAGGAACTAGAAAAGTATGAACAAACAAAACCCAAAACTAACCGAAGAAAAGAAATATTGAAGATCAGAGCAGAGAAGTAAATGAAATTGAAACCAAAAGAATCAATGAAATTGAAACCAAAAGAATCAATGATCAGAGCAGAGAAGTAAATGAAATTGAAACCAAAAGAATCAATGAAACAAAGTTGGTTCTTTGAAAAGGTAAACAAAGTTGATAGATCACTAGCTAGATTAATTAAGATGAAAAAAGAAGAATCAGACTCACTCAGATCAGAAGTGAAAATGGAGACATTGCAACTCATACCACAAAAATAGAAAAAAGTATCTGAAATTATTATGAACACCTTTATGCAAACAAACCAGAGAATCTAGAGGAAATGGATACATCTTGGAAACATACAATGCCCCCCCATCCTTGAATCAGGATGAAATAGAAACGGTGAAAGACCAATAACAAGTAGCAAGATTGAATCAGTAAAGTCTCCCAATTTTAAAAAAGCTCCAGGACCTGACAGACTCATAGCCGAATTCTACCAGACTTTCATAGAGGAACTGGTACCAATTTTCCTGACACTATTCCATAAGATTGAAAAGTAGGGAATCTAACTCATTCTGTGAAGCCAGTATCACCCTAATACCAAAACCAAGAACAAAAGAAAACTACATACCAATATCCCTAATGAACATAGATGCCAAAATCTTCAACAAAATACTAGCAAACTGAATTCATTGTGTTTAGTGCAATACCATAAATCTTAACACCATGAGACCTGTGTGAAATGCTGCTGGTGATGTGGGAAGTGCTCCCAAGAAGCAGCAAAAAGTCATGACATTATAAGAAAAAGGTTGATTTGGTGATACCCAAGTATCTTGAGGTCTGCAGCTATGGTTGCCTGCTATTTCTGACAAACAATTCATCTTGTAAACAAATGATATAAACTTGTATTATCGATAAATATGGTACAGTGCTATAAATATGTTTTCTTTTTATGATTTTCTTTTTTCCCTAGTCCTGAAAGGTCAACAATCTTTATGATTTTCTTAATAACATTTTATTTTCTCTAGTTTACATTGTCATAAGAATACAGTATATGCCGGGCTTGGTGGCTCAGCCTGTAATCCCACGCCTTTGGGAGGCTGAGGTGAGTAGATTGCCTGAGCCCGAGGGTTCAAGACCCACCTGGGCAGCGAGACCTCATCTCTACAATAAATCAAAAATTCAGCCGGGCGTGGTAGTGCATGCCTGTAATTCCGGCTACTTGGAAGGCTGAGGCGGAAGGATCGCTGGAGCCCAGCCGGTCGAGGCTGCGGTGGCTGAGAGCGGCCACTGCACTCCAGTCTGGGCGACAGAGTGAGACTCCAACTCAAAAAAAAAGAATACAGTATATGTTACATATAACTTTTAAAATATGTATTAATTGACTACATTTTTGATAAAGCTTTCAGTCAATGGTGGGCTGACTATTAGTGACTATGTTTTAGGAATATCAAAAGTTATACACAGATTTTTTTTTTACTACTCCCCTAACCCCTACATTGTTCAGCAATCAACTGTAATTATGTAAGATACAACTCTCTGTACTATCTTTGCAACTTTCCATGAATCTATGATTATTTTAAAATTAAAACTACTTTTAAAAAATTAAATGTAAAAACTACCCCCCCAAAAAAACCAATTATTTTTGTAAACCTATGCTATCATTTGGAATAAGATACCCAGGAGATGAGCAATTCTTTTTCTTTTTTATGCCACATGATATCTCCTTTAATATTTATAAGGTATTTTTAGTTCTCGTTTGCTGTAAGAATATTACTCTGTTATGGTTTTATAGAGAATTTTAAAGAGTGATTAGCGATGTAGACTTTAAAAACTTAACACATCTGTATCTTGAAAATGACTTTTTTTCCTTTCAATGGTGTGTAATGGAAAATAACTAAGAACTTATTACTCTTTAAACATGTATCTTTGTGTTGTTCTTTTTGTTTAGACAATTACTTACTCCTACAGCCATTTTGCACAAAAGCTCAGTTTTTAAATGGAAAAGCAAAACAGGATATGACAGAAAAACTTGCTGGTAAATACTTTTTAATTATAAATTTTTATTTACATTTTTAAGGAAATATTTTATGCATTAAGGATAGACTGGCAGGTATTTCCATTTAATTTTTAAAGCTGCCAATTCAATATCTTCACCCATGAAGTAGAAATAAATATTACAAGGACCTTTTTTAAGACTTTTACCCTCAAGCATTTCCTTCAAAATAATTTTATCCTTTTTTTTTCCAGTTAGTATTTAGTCTTCCTGATAGTAGATTACGGGAAAAATAAAAAACATTAAAATCAAATACTAGTGTTCATATAAAACTGATGTTTCAAAATTGTGTTTGATAAAAGGTCCATGGGTTGAAAATATGTTAATTTTTATTTAACTATAGTTGGAAAACATTGATGTGAATCTGTACCACTTTTGCCTGAACTATAATAATTTTTTTTTTTTGAGTTGGAGTCTCACTCTGTCACCCAGACTGGAGTGCAGTGGCCGCTCCCAGCCACCGCAGCCTCGACCTCCTGGACTCTGGCGATCCTTCCGCCTCAGCCTTCCGAGTAGCCAGAATTACAGGCATGCTCTACCACGCCCGGCTGATTTTTGTTTTATTGTAGAGATGAGGTCTCGCCAAGTTGCCAGGCGGGTCTCGAACCCGCGGGCTCAGGCAATTCACTCACCTCAGCCACCCAAAGGCACGGGATTACAGGCTGAGCCACCGAGCCCGGCTATAATAATTATTATGTTTGGAATATCTAATACCGTTCTTGAAAATCCTGGTCTTTGGGAGGAAGGTTTCTGTCCTTCCTTCTTGTAAGAAGCCTAACTTTGTAGGACAAATGGCATAAAGAAGAAGCTTAGTATATTTTAGGTGCTTTTTAGTTAGCAGAATTTGAACTTGTCTTTTTAAAAACCCTCACTGTTTACCATGTTTTTGTGTTTCAGATATTGTTATGGAACTTTACCAAAGGAAGCCCCATGCCACAGAACAGAAAGTATTGGTTGTTTTATGGCACCTCTTAGGGAACATGACAAATAGTGGCTCTCTGCCTGGAGCTGGAGGAAATATACGGACAGCCACAGCTAAATTATCAAAAGCACTTTTTGCACAGATGGGTCAGAATCTGTTAAATCAGGCTGCATCTCAACCACCACATATCAAAAAGAGTTTAGAGGAGTTGCTCGATATGACAGTTTTAAATGAATTATGAATCTTTGATAAAATATGATATGATAAAACTGTTTACATGATAAGTGGAACTTTTTTAAAGCTACATTTTCAGTGCCTGCACTTCATATCCAGTAAATTAAGCAAATGGCTATTTTAATCAGTTGATGTGTACACATCCGTCCCATACCAGCCCTACCCCCTGTACCCATCACACGCAAACCTGGAATAACCTATGATGAAATCTGAGGTGCGTAGGATGAACCCAATTTTAATATTTCTGAGAAAAATCCTGCTCATTTGCACTCTTCTATAGATACTGCAATTTTTTGCCCCATATGTACAATTAGATTTGTAATTAAAAATATACTTTTTATTATGTAATCATGTTCTGCTATGTCTCATTACTCAACCTTGTTTTATGAAGTGAAAGCCATTGGACTGTGTTATCACAAACTAAGTTTTTTGTGCTATTTGTGGAAAACATGTATTTCTGAATCAGTTCGCTTATAATAAGATTGTGCAGTATTAGCTTGCTTTTGCTCCTGTGTTAATGTGATATACTTGCTTACCTTTTGGATTTAATTATCTCTGCATAATTATGAAATTTAACAAGTTATAACAAAGCATGATGACCAAAGGTTTAGACATTAAACATTTTAAGTGCACATTTAAGAAAAACATGTTGAATGTAACTTCCCTATTTTTGTGTGCAAACACTAAATTTTATTTCTATATGTTCTGACATTTATAAAGGTGTTATTTTGCTGCCCAGTTGTGTAATTCTCAAAAATAGTGCCAGGTCTTCTGTAGCTTTTTTCAGAATTCTTGGGCTTTCAAGTACTGTATGCATCTTTAAAAAGAAAAGGAATGTTATAAAATAAAAGGATTTATTTCTGTAGATGTGTGAGAGTTGTCCTATTTTTCCAACTTCCATATATGTTAAAATGAATAAAAAAGAAAAGTAGGAAAAAATGTATATTGTAACATTGACCTATCACTTTCACTTGATCTACTTGATATGATATTGACCTGGGTTATCATTCTAACTTTATAGAAAATTAGCTATGTGACTTGAGGTAAGCCATCTGGCCTTCATTTTCTTATCTCTAAAATGTGGAGGCTGGACTAGATGATTTTTAGAACAGGTCCTATACTTATTCTACAATCCTATGATCTATGTTCATTCTTTTTTATTTCTTGTATCACTGACTGGTTTTCTGATGTATTTGACTGCTTTTTAAATTGCGATCCTCTAGCTGGGCATGGTGGCACACGCCTGTGGTTCCAGCTACTTGGAAGGCTGAGGCAGAAGAATCGCCTGAGCCCAGCAGGTCGACGCTGTGGTGGCCGGGAGCGTGCCATTGCACTCCAGCCTGGGCGACAGAGTGAGATTCCAACTCTAGATCAATGAACAAATGAATAAATAGTGATTCTTTGTATTTATCCACAACTTCTGAGAAAAATTTTTTAAAAATAGGTTCTGCTGCTATTTGGAGCTAAGCTAAAAGAAGCGTAAAGACTTGCTACTTTTTTTCCTCATATACACTAATTAATTACATAGAGATTCTTTAAAATGCTTTATATTTTCTTGTAAGTGTATTTTATAATAATCTTATAGTTTAGATCGGGAGTTGGTAAACTAGTTACAGGACCAGAAAGTAAATAGGAGGGGTGAACCCCTCCCAAAAAACAATTTATAATAAATTGTGTATTCTTACATGTTTAAACTTCAGTCACTTTCACAGTATTCTCCGTTTGATGCAATACACCTATTAAGGTGCTTTTTCCACTGCTCAAACCATTTTGGAACTTGTGAATTCTGATGCCTTTTAGTGTTCCTGCCAATTTTTGTTTCACTATTCCACAATAAAAAAAGTCACTCGGGGTGATATCAGGTGAATAGGGAGGATGGAGCAGGGGGTTCATGCTCTTTTTGGTCAAAAACTGCTAAACACTCAGTGCACTGTGGCAAGTGTGCTCGTAAGTCACCTGTCATGAAATGGGCAAATACACTGGAAGAATCTCCAAAAAAATATTCGCTGAAGCCAGATGCAGCCTCTCACTGTTGCTGATGGATTCCTAGAATACTTACCTAGCAGGGGAAGCCTACACTACAAGGGTCCACACTCCAAAAGATAATTCTGTTGTTTTGGGGGGCAACTTCATATATTTGGCTTTGTAAGCCACAGAAAACTGTGGCCTTTTTTATTATTATTATTATTATTTTTTTTAGTTGGAGTCTCACTCTGTCGCCCAGACTGGAGTGCAGTGGACGCTCCCGGGCACCGCAACCTCGACTTGCTGGGCTCCAGCGATCCTTCTGCCTCAGCCTTCCAAGTAGCTGGAACTACAGGCGCATGCTACCACACCCAGCTAATTTTTTGATTTATTGTAGAGATGAGGTCTCGCCAAGTTTCCCAAGGCGGGTCTCGAACCCGCGGGCTCAGGCAATCCACTCACCTTAGCCTCCCAAGGTGCGGGATTACAGGCTGAGCCACCAGGCCCGGCCTATTTGTTTTTTTTTTAACAACAATTTAAACATGTAAAAAACATTCTTAGCTCAGGCCATGGAAAGACATGACTGGCATAGTCTGCCAACACCTGCTTTAGACTTGTGATCTCAGTTGTAACTCTGAAGTCATTAAATTTTGCTTCAACCCTTTTTGACATGTGTCATTGAAACAACAGTTACAAATCTTAATGTTTTTTATTTTTTTGAGTTGGAGTCTCACTCTGTTGCCCAGGCTGGAGTGCAGTGGCACTCTCAAGGTCACTCCAGCGTCAACCTACTGGGCTCAGGCAATCCTTCTGCCTCAGCCTTCCAAGTTGTTGGAACTACAGGTGCACGTTACCACGCCCAGCTAATTTTTTTATTTACTGTAGAGATCAGATCTCACCAAGTTTCCCAGGCTGTTCTCGAACCTGTGAACTTAGGCAATCCTCTCACCTCAGCCTCCCAAAGTGCTGAAATTACAGGCTTGAGCCACCGCACCAGGCTGTGTGTGTTTGTTTTAAATCCATTTTACTGATCTATATCTTTCAGCGGGACATTAAGAATATTTACATTCAGGATTAATAATGATAGTTAAGGTACTAGTCCATTCATCATGTTGATTGTTACTTGGTTGCTTTCTTTTTTGCTCTGTTGTGTTGGTGTTTTATAAGCGCTGTGAGCTTTCTGATTTCCCTTAAAAAAAAAAAAAAAAAAGATTTCACGTACAAGTTTGAAATTTACTCTGGAGACCGAAAGAGCAATGTTTTCAAGGGTAGATGTGGTGAATTTCTTTCTTTTTCTTTTTTTTTAACAGCCTAGGTCTCCCCAAGAAAAGAAGGTGGTTTATTTTAAAATCGTCCAGTAGCAGAGGGATAGTTGGGTGGAACAGGGAAAGGGTGAAAGCAAAGCAAAGACATCCATTTGGAAACACTGGTCCTAAGAATTTGGATTTTTGTCCCTAGGCCTTGCTATAAAAAGTCATGACCATTAGTGGAGTGCGTTGACACATGCCTGTGGTTCCAGTTACTTGGAAGGCTGAGGCAGAAGGCTCGCCTGAGCTCAGTAGGGTGAGGCTGCAGTGGCCGTGAGCATGCCCCTGCACTCCAGTCTGGGTGACAGAGTGAGACTCGGACTCAAAAAAAAAAAAACTTTAAAAAATCAGCTGGCCGGGCACGGTGGCTCATGCCTGTGATCCCAGTACTTTGGGAGGCAAAAGTGAGAGGACTGCCTGAGTCTAGAGATTCAAGATCAATTTGGGCAACTTCGTGAGTTTCTACAATAAATTTTTTTTTTTAATTAACCAAGCATGGTGGTGCGTGCCTGTCGTTCCAGCTACTTGGAAGGCTGAGGAGGAAGGATCACCTCATCCCAACAAGTCGAGACTGCGGTGTCATGAGCGTGCCACTGCACTCTAGCACCAAGTTTTAAAGAGTGAAGTAAGATTAACCTGGCTACACCCTGGAGGGTATATTAGAATGGTGCAATACTCAACATAAGGAGAGAACTTGAGACTGTCAGAAGAATCTCAGAGAAAAATGCTTGTGGCCTTACTTGAAATGGTAAGTGTGGAGATTTGACAGGTTCAAGAACTGTTTAAGTTCAAACTGACAGAGTTGGTAAGTGTTGGGTGTTTGGAATGAGGATATTGGGAAAAGACTAGAATGACTTCCAGGTTTCAGGTTTGAGCACTTAGGTGCATAAGTGATACCATTAACTGAGAAGAGAAACCCTGGTGGAGGTATGTCTTTGTTTTGTGATACAGTAACAAAATACCTGAGGCTGGGTAATTTATTTTAAAAACGAGGCTTATTTATTTATTTTATTTATTTATTTTTGGGTTGGAGTCTCTCTCTGTCACCCAGATGGGAGTGCAGTGGCCACTCCCGGCCACCGCAGCCTCGACCTGCTGGGCTCCGGCGATCTTTCCGCCTCAGCCTTCCAAGTAGCTGGAATTACAGGCATGCGCTACCACGCCCGGCTGATTTTTTTTTTTTTTTTTTTTTTTTATTGTAGAGATGAAGTCTCCCTGCCCAGGCGGGTCTCGAACCCACAGGCTCAGGCAATCCACTCACCTCAGCCTCCCAAAGGTGCGGGATTACAGGCTGAGCCACTGAGCCCGGCTATGAGGCTTATTTCACTCATGGTTCTGCAGCCTAAGAAGTACAAAAAGCGTGGTGCCAGCTTCTGCTTCTGGTGAGGGTTTTTATGCTGCAGCACAAAATGGCAGAAAGCCAAAGGGGAAGAAGGCATGTATGAAGAGGCTCGATAGCAACCCACTCTCAAGGGAATTAATTCAGTCCCTGGAGCCCTAATCCAGTCTTGCCAGAGCAGAACTCACTTACTCCTTCAAGAAAGGCACCAAGCCATTCACTTGTCTTGGTGACAAACTCAAACCACAGCAAGATGAGTAAGAACTCAAAGTCAGCACGGTTCATCTTGTCAGGAAAAAATGATGACCAGGTTCAGAGATGGGGCTGGGAGTCCTCCTGAGATTATGGAGGCATTGGGACTGTGACAGCATCCAAAGATCATGGCTGCTGTCAAAAGTAGTTGCCGTGCTAAAATGAGGTATGGAATTCCTACCATTAAAAAATTTAGTTCTCACTGGGTGCAGTGGCTTACTCCTGTAATTCCAGTACTTTGGGAGATGAAGGCAAGAGGATTGCCTGAGTCCAGGGGTTCCACACCAGCCTGGGCAACTTGGCGAGACCTCATCTCTACAATACATCAAAAAATTTGCTGGGCGTGGTGGCACATACCTGTAGTTCCAGCTGCTTGGAAGGCCGAAGAGGAAGGATAGCCTGAGCCCAGCAGGTCAAGGCTGCGGTGGCTGTGACCTTGCCGCTGCACTCCTACCTGGTTGACAGAATGAGACCCTGACTCAAAAAAAGAAATTAGTTCTCTACTTTTAATATCTGCTACTATGATTTACTTTGGCCAATTTAATTCAACAGAAGCAACTGTATGCCTGTTCTGTGATTTGGTGAATCAGAAAGAGTTGCCTGTGGACATACAATTAAATTTGAATTTCAGATAAACCTAATAAGGTTTACTGTAAGTATGTCCTATGCAATATCTGTCCTGGGATAAAAATTTTAATGTCATGCAATTTTGGGGACATACACCAAATGTTTTAAGTTGTTTATGTGAAATTCAAATTTAACTGGGCTGAATCAGACAGCTATTTGCTAATTCAGACAATTCCAAAACTGGATAATAGGTAGTTCCTTGTGGGCCACTCAAGTTAGGCCTTCAGTTTTTCTCAAGAAAAACTGTGTCTTCTTTGCTGGAGAGGGCATGGCTTTGCCTTCAAACTTTAAAAGTATCCACTGAAATACTATTGAGGCTTGTGCTATCTTGAACTGGATAATTGTACCACAGGAGCCACAAATCAGGCAGGGCAC